TAGTAGTAGTAGTAATGGTAGTAGTGGTGGTACCCCAAAGGTTTAGGGTAAAGGGTGAATTTTCTTCCTCTAAGGGAGACTCCTTACGGTTCACCTCGAATCTGAGGCACCGTTTAGCGATTCAGGGTTTAGGGGTTAGGGTTTAGGTGGTTTAAGGTTTAAGTGGTTTAGGGTTTAGGGTTTAGGTGGCTTAGCTGGTTTAGGCGGTTAGCTGTAGAGTTCAAGCCCATTGTCGGATCCGATGAGGCTGCAGGGTTTCGGGGGCGAAGGGGAAGAAATCTGAAACGGCTCTGATTCAAGGCATCGGTCACTCACTCAAGTGGCCACCTAAACCCCAAACTCCTAAACCCCTAAGCCCGAACCCCTACAGGGTTTCGCAGTGTTTCTGCAGGGTTGTATACGGGTCTTTCTGGGTTTCTGAGTTAGGGACGTCCCGAGCTGTCAGCCCTGATTGTCGAACTCTTCTGAAGACCCTTCAAAAGAAGCTTATAATATAGGGGCCTCAATAATTAGAATAGGGCTTTGGGGGTATAATTATGCTGTAAATATAACAAGGAACCCCAAAATAGTATAGGTAATTCTTAAGGCCCGTATCTTATAAACCGTAAGACCCTAGAACTCCCCAAATGTATCCAAAAACACGTATAAAACACCTGTAAGACCCTCTGGTCTGCAAGTTTTCCCTGCTGCCGCTGCAAGAGTTCCGACATGGAGACTTGCAGGCATCATGGAGCATCAAAGTAGAATCATAATCAGGAGCTCTAAGGAATAGTCTTCGTAATTCTGTCGGCCCCTGCATTCTACACTTGACGGCATCGTGGGTACTGAGACTCAGGAGATCGGGGAGTCGGTGAGGTGTACCGGAAATATGGTTATCCTGCTTTTAAAGCCCAGATGATCGCCTGCTTACTAGGTCCGGTGATCCTTCAAGCAGTTGTAAGGACAACCCTAAACCCTAAACCCTAAACCCGTAAACCCCTAAGCCCCAGTCAAAGTACCCAGGATACTCAGAGCCGATCTTGAGGCCCAATCTGCGGTCATACTCAAGTTACCGTCTTTGGCGGAAGCATTCTTCACCTCTGTCTGGGTAGTTCTCTAAATGTCCCTGTGTAGGTCCCAAGAATAGTACGGCAATCGTAGGCAAAGGGCCTAAAGGGACCAGAATTTAGAGAACTACCCCAGTCAAAATTTGGAAAGAACTTGATGCTTGCGGGGCAAGCCCGGCAGCTCAAGAAAGAGCAGGTGCACTTGAACCCAGGTGCCAAGATGCAAAAAGCAAGCATCCTCTTCGAGCGAGATCGACCTTGCTCAAGCCGCACAGTTGCGCGCAGCGACGCGCGTCTCGGCGAGGGCTTCTACAGGGGCCTCGAAAATTATAGTAGGAATAGTATTACGAACTTTTCCTACGAAGGACGCAGGAGCCTGGCTTTAGCTCAGGCCTCCAAAAAGGCTGCAGCCCCGTTTGGGGCTTCAAGCCGATACGAGAAAGATTGACCCAGAGAACCCAATACCCCTTAATTAAGGAAGATACCTTAAGTTATTAGGGTTTAGGGTTCAGGGTTCAGGGTTCAGGGTTTAGGGTTTAGGCTTTAGGGAATATACCGTAAATTATAGGGGCCTTCATATTATGACTTAAGGTATATTCCTTAATTGAGGGGAATTGGGTTCTCTGGGGAGCCAGCCTAAGTAGGACGGGGTTTAGGGATTTAGGGCTCTAGGGCTTTAGGGTTTAGGGTTTAGGGATAGCATAAAGGGTTCTTTAAAGGGTTCTATAAGGGTTACTATAAGGGTTTAGGGTTTAGGGTTTAGGGCCTTACTAATTAGAATAGGGTTTTGGGGGGGTTCCCTTTTTTTGATGACATAGTCACCGCTGCTTGGCCTGCACAACATGCACAAACTTTGACCAGAGAGTTCAAACATTGTTGTTGCATGATCAGGATCCTTGTATAGTTCAGCGCATCTTCGCTAATCAAGACTAGTGCTGCACTCTCAAAAAGCAGATTACATGCATAGCCAGACCTTGTGCAAATGCTCCTTGACGTATGCCTCACAAGTGGTCGGTTGTCCGGAAAGCGCGGCGGTGATGAACTCCTCGGAGTTCTTGTGGGGCCGTAGCTATCGACACCATCAACCCCCCAAACGACACACCCCCTGAACCGGAAACGCAACAACGTCTTAAACCCACATACAAACAAAGCAAACAAGCAACAACCTGAAGTTATATATCTTTGAAAAGTAGGCAGGCATGCATGCATGCATGCATACACACACATACATACATACATACATACATACATACATGCATGCATGCATGCATACATACATACATGAGCTCACATTTGCGGACAAAAACAAAAACAAACAAACACGCCAGTAAAGAAACACAAGCAA